ACAGGACTGGCCCCAGACTCCACTCCCCAGGCCTGGCTGGAGCACTGGGTAGAGAAGGACATGCCCTGGGGTCCAGGAGGGTTCAGTCAGTATGAGGAGTGGCTGGGCCTGGATCCCAAATGTGCAGGCCATGGCCCACCAAGGCACACTCATGGCCACAGTCCTGGAGCCTAGAACCTGATCTAAAGGTCGCTGACATCCCGAATTGGTATCAAGGACTTTAAACGGTGGTTGTGTAGATGACCAGCTCATTTCTGACCTAGAAAAAGTCATCTGCTTGCAAGTCAGAAATACCCCACAGAAGAAGTGTCCCAAGAGTCAGGGCTAGGAAATGGGGAAAGTAGAAAAGGGAACAATATTTTCTCTCCAGCTGCCCTCAGGCACATTGCAGCTGCTACAGAGGAATTCTTGGGTTTTCTGATTCCCTCAGAGAGTGAAGCTGAACTCTGAATAGGTCTGCCTGAGGAAAAATCAACATTCATAGCCTCCAATAGCCCGATAGAGCCACTTTTCCTTCATAGTGAAATAATACCCACAAATCCTTGACTACTGATGAATTTGCACCGGAGGGACAAAGTAAACTCAGTGTCAGTTACTATACAGCGTGGCTGTGTCTAGACTGGCCATTTTTCCAGAAAATCAGCCGCTTTTCCGGAAAAACTTGCCAGCTGTCTACACTGGCCGCTTGAATTTCTGCAAAAGCACTGACGATCTCATGTAAGATTATCAGTGTTCTTGCAGAAATACTATGCTGCTCCCGTTTGGGCAAAAGTCCTTTTGCGCAAAAGGGCCAGTGTAGACAGCTCAGCTTAGTTTTCCTCAAAAAAGCCCTGATCGCGAAAATGGCGATTGGGGTTTTTTTGCGGAAAAGCGCGTCTAGATTGGCACGGACGTTTTTCCGCAAAAAGCGCTTTTGCGGAAAAGCATCCATGCCAATCTAGATGCTCTGTTCTGAAAATGCTTTTAACGGAAAACTTTTCCGTTAAAAGCATTTCCGGAAAATCATGCCAGTCTAGACATAGCCTGTATGTATTGCTGTGGCACCTACATGCCCCATTCATGAGCTAGGAACCCATTGTGCCAGCAGCATAAAAAAATAAGAGTCCCAGCTCCACTCAGTTTCCAGTCTAAGTGGAGCTTCGGAATCCAGTTAGGAAGAGGACTGTCATGAAAATCATGTCACTGCACTCTCCTAGCACCATGCATGCGTACTTTTCTACTTCCACGTCAGAGTTAAATAAAATCCTCAAATGTTTTATGGCCATCAATAAATTTGCCCCACCAAAGAGAAGGCTAGAATCTGAGCCTTGCCCTCCATTGTTATTCATGATTTATATTACAATAGCATGTAGGAGTCCCAGACTTGGGCCAGGATTGCTTTGTGCTGGAGACAAAAACAGAAAGATTCCCTGCTCCTAAGATTTTACAGACTAAGCCAGGGGTCGGTCACCTATCGCTCACTAGGGAGCCAGATATGGCTCTTCTGAAGCTCAAGTCCAGCCCCCGCTTGTTCCCCCTGCAGAAGGGAGCCTGCACTGGCACAGCAGCAAAACAACCCAGCCTGCGGATGCAGCAGGGAGCCCCCCCGGCAGACTCCCCTGTTTGCCCTGCCCCCACACCGCGTGCAGAAAAGCGGATGCGGGGCCATTTGTTTTTCACAAACTGTGAGCTGGGAGGAGGGAGTAGTGCTTCATGGCTGCTCCTGTCCCCGGCACAATCCCATTGGCCGGTTTCTGGCCAATGGAAGCTGTTTCAAGAACAGGCAGTGCACGAAGCACTAATTCCCCCACCCCTCAGGCTCTTATTCACAGAGTGCATGGTCCTGCAGCCTTTGGGGGCGCTGGGCAGTCTCCTGCCTGAGAAATAAGCTGGGCTGCTGGCCGGGAGTCTCTCAGGTAAGTCTCCCAGCCAGAGCCTGCCTCTGGCACCCAA